GCACCCCCCCCCTCACCAGCCGCCGCCGCCGCCCACTCGCTACCGGCCCACCCGGCCGACTCGTGCCACTGCCTGCTGATGAGGGATCGCAGGAAGTTGAGGCCAAGGTCGGCCAGAAGCAGGTAGGACAGGGCTGCGTGTGGTGGTGGTGGGGGGGCAGGAGGGGTGTGGAGGGGAGGAGGCATGAGCAGGGAGTCAGTAGGCAGGGGAGGGTATCTTCTGGAAAAAAAACAAAAAACGCTAGGCTGGGGTGGCGTGGCGTGGGGTGCGCCGGGCGTGGACGCAGCGCATCCATCCAAGCAGCTGGTGGGCAGGCGCCCCAGGCCGCTGGCGCGGCCCCCGCGCGGCGCTGCCGGTCAGCCACCTGTCAGCAGGGTGAGGCCGTGCGCGCCGCGCAGCGCAAACCAGGCGCCCGCCAGCGCGGCGGCGCCGACGGCGGCGGCGGCGTAGGTGAGGGGAGGGTTGGTGTACAGCAGGAGGTCGGCGGCCAGCTGGCTGCCGGTGCGCTCGGGGGCGGGGGTCTCGGGCACGCCCACAAACGCCACGCCGGCGCGCTGGCGCCGCCGGGCGCCGCCACCGGCGTCTCCAGCGGGCTGCCGGCGTACGCGTTGAGGCTCAGCTCCTGCTGCGCGTCGCTGATGGCAGACCTGCGGCGCCAAACGGCAGTAGTGGGAAAGGGGGATGATGTGTGTGGAGGGTGGGGACAAAGTCACAGCGCCGGGGCGAGAGGTGCAAGGCGTGGACGGCGGCGGGAGGCGCCACCCGGGGGCAGAGGCAGGAGGGTGGGCGGCGGCCGGCGGCGGTAGCAGGCGGCCGCCCCAGCCTCTCATGTCTGCTAGAATGTCGCACGGGGTGGCACACTGCCTGTCTGTCGGCTGAGGTTCTGCAATGCCCCGAAGTGATCTCTTGAACTGGAGACGCACGCCGCAGCCCAGGCCTCCCCACCTTTGCTTCAGCAGCTGCTGCTTCACCAGGATGGTGTCCGGCGGGGTGAGGTCCTGGTTCTGCATGGCGCCTGGCGGGCTGTCACCTGCTGTCGCACCACGGAAGACGCTGGGTGAGGCCAGGCAGGAGCCCTGCGCGTGCACAGGGGATGGCTTGGAGCACTGCATTTCAACTTTGGGGATGGAGGAAAGGCAGCACGCGTGGCGCCGTCTTGGCGCCGCCCCGACGCGCCTGACCCTGCTGGCGGACCTTTGCACAGGGTGGTGGCCTCCAGCGCATCATGGAGCAGGATTTACAGCATTGAGCAGGCTTCCGGGATGGAGCGCCTTCAACAAGCGGCCTGGTATGGCGAGGGCGGCAGCGGCCCCTGGCGGGGCGACACTTGGATCTGCTGCCTCTTTGCCTCAGCCCGCCTGCCCACGCAGCAGCTGCACCAGGCGCATGGCCTTGGGCCCGCCGCCGTCGCTGTTCACGCTGGGAATGATGCTGCGGCAGGGATTGGGGAGGCGCAGGGGCACAGCAGGAGCCCATTCAGCATAGAGGCTGAAGTGTTGGCATGTCCAGCGGCGCCAGCAGCAGCGTTCCTGCTCCCCTGCAGGCCGGCCTGGCAGCGGCGGCGGTGCCAGCGCCCGGCGTGGCGCACCTGACGGGGCGGAACCAGTCTACAAACTGGCGCAGCTCGCTGAAGCTGCTGTGCTCGCTGTAGGGCACCTGCAGGCAGGCGTGTGAGGCAGGGGTGAGGCAGGGGTAGGGTGGAAGGGGGGGGGATTTGAGGCAGCGGGGGGGAACTCCACCGCTGTATTAGCCCGCCACTTGCGGCAGCGCTGACCAAACCCTGCCAGGCACAGCCGCTCAGCCAGCGCCCCTTGGCAGCCCCCCCCCCACCACCACCACACACACGCCGGACCTGGTAGGTGATGATGGTGCCCTTCTGGCGCCGCCGCCCCCGCGCCCCCGCCTGGCTGGCGTCCCGCTGGTGCGTCCAGCCGGTGGGCTGGAAGCCCACCGCTGCGGCAGCGCCGGGGGCCAAGGGCGCGTCGGGGAACACGCGGTGCGATGCCACCGCCTCTGCCCGCTGCTGCGGCCCCGGGTGCCGGCGGGAATGCGAGCCGGCATGCCGGGGGGTGCCCCTCACGCATCAATGCAAGGGGGCCAGCAGCCCGCCCGCCCCAGCCCACCCACCAGTGGAGAACCTGCCGCGGTAGTGCTTCAGCAGCTTAGCCATGTGCTTCTGGCTCACCATCCACAGCGGCACTGCAGGCGGGGGCAGGAGCCGGGGCAGGCGGGCGGGGCGTCAGCCTTGCCGCGGGCCACGGCAGCGACGGGCCACTGCAAGGCGGGCCGCCGGCTGCGCAGCCCGTGGGCCTGCCCGCCTGCGCATGCCTGCCCGCCCCTCCACTCCACACCCCACGCCGCCCCGGCCCGCCCCTGGCCTCCCACGCCTCACGCCGCCGGGCAGGTACCTACCCGCGTGCAGGTTGGTGGTGTGGTCGTCTGTGGTGAGCAGGGAGGCATACTCCTGTGGCAGCTCCAGGCAGTCCAGCACCTTGCGCTTGGCGGCTGACACGTAGATCCGGCGCTGCAGCACGCGCGCCGCCTCCAGAAACAGACGCTCCTTGCCTGCGGAGGCGGGGAAGAGGCGGCGGCGGCTGGGGTGCGCGTGTGAGAGGAGATAAGGGTGGGTGGGTGGGGGGCGGAT